CACCTGACGAACAAAGAGCAACTGCTGGACGTTTAGATGGAGACTTCCGTTACAATTTGGCTGTTACGGGTGGCTGATGTTCGATGATACGAGCGCAGGTGTATACACGCTGTATTTTTTTCCGCAACATGGTTCGTCGACGACCAAGAGCCTTCCTCCGGCACAGGACAGTCGGGCACCCACTCATTTCATCTACCGTCTCACCTGGCTGGCCATGGTTATGCGGATCCCCGACTTGACCTAAGTTCGTCACCTCAGGACCCGATTATGTTATTGACGCACCGGAGCCTCTGGCAATACTGCTTTTGTCAGGTAAGGACTCCACTATATACACGATGGCAAAACTTAATATCGTATGTTCAAGGAATTGGCACGTTCTGAGTCGTGTTCTCGGTGTGGTAATAAGCACACTCAAAACGATCTGATTTCGGCAGTAGGGAAACAGAAAATAGAAAGATAGACTCGAAAATCAGAGTGAACTACTAGTTTTTCAAGTAAGTAATAACCGGGATGGACTGCGTCTGCAATAATAAACTACACCTCAGCGCATCGGCCTCAACGAGCTCATGACATTCTGCACCAGAGCCCTATACACAGGGTGGTCATCCGGGAGTTCCATGGTTGCCTCGACCAGTTGTGTCTCCTCGAGATTCCTTTTCAGCGTGAGAGCCTCCCACCCAGCCGCCTTCTTCATGAATTTTGCCCTGAGCGTTCCGCACCGCTTGACCTCCTCACAGAGCCTCGGGTCGTATTCCTCCGCCACGGCTTTGTCATTCGCAACCTCAGCCTCGTCTTCTTCCCCCGGCATCGCTACGTGCAACTTTGCGCTGCACCCGATGATCCCATCTCTCCGTCCGGGCAGGAAAAGGACGAACCAGACATGGTACAGGTACTTCATGTAGAAGCGCGGAGCGACTTGAAGGGCGTGACCATTAGCCCGAGTATTGGCCTCGGCGGCGAGCCCGAACTCGCTGATGTCGAGAAGGAGCGTGCAGAGCTCGGGTGGCATGTAGCCGAAGAACTTGGATTCGTCGAACATCTTCGCCAGGTCGTCAATGGTCGCCGGGAGAGGGCGTTTTTTTTTGTCTGGGTCAGACCAGTCGGTGCACCAGCTTTCGAAGAAGAACTTTCTGGATGCCTCGGGGATTTTGGCCCAGTCGATGGGGACGGTGGCGCAAGAGGCCGGTACAAGGCGGAGAAAGCTTGGATTGCCCATGATCTTTCAGTGAAAGACGTTCGAAGTGTGGAATGTCTCAGAGGCACTCAGAGAACGACTGACGGAGCGCAGACGAAAACGGCGAGGTATAAGTAGGCCAAGACGAGTCATGTGAAGATAAAGCACACATGACTCGCGATCATCATGCCGCGATGCGACGATAATCTGAGCCGACGCTGAGCCGAAGTCGACGGAGGAGGAGGAGCCAGCGCAGAGGGTTGTATACGGATCAACCTCGTAGATATCGTGTCAACATTCCAGGCTTCGTTTAATGCTGAGCTGTAAGCCACAAACTCTACACAACGGCACATCGCCATTAGCAATCTCTTCGTTGAGAAATCGTGCAACTCACCGAAGACGAGGGGCAAACGATGGGGTTCCCAACGACGTCTATATGTCTGCAATGCCGCTCCTTCTGCCGCCGTCCATCATAACTCCGCACCCTCTTACAAACGTATATTTGCAGTTCCTTGAGCCGGATACGAAAACAGCCAAAGACAGCTATTGGCCTGAGTCCCCAAGTTCGCTGACGATGGGGGGTTCGCCAGTTACACCATCATCGCGTCACCCTGCTCTCCTCCCCTGAATAATGACGGCTTACATCCTTTAGATGCTTCGTTTGTGCATTGACCGAGACCAGCGAGACCAGCTTGACGGAGGCACCAGGCCAGCGAAGTTGACGGAGAGCAATCATTCCATCCCCCCTACCGTTATGTGAGCTCGGCTCCTTGAGGCTTTCGCCCCTGAAGAAGGCAAAAAGGTTGATGGTAGTGGACGACGCGCGGGTGAGGGTGTGGGGGCATGGAGTGAAGAGACGCTTTAGAGGCCTCGAGGAGGTCCTGGTCGAGGCGATTTGACGGTTTTGGTTCGTGTCCTCATGGGGAGGAGAGAGGGCATGCATGAGAGGCCGCTCCGCGGATCTGATCTTGTTGGTTCCAGGAGGCGGCTTGAGCACGATCCAAGCGACTCGGGGACTTGAGGACTGCCCGTGAGTAGAGAAACGACTGTGCACAGCATTAGTCGAATGAGATTCGAACGAGAGCAGTTCGCGTTGAAGGGAGGATCGGGAAAGAGATTCTCACGCGTCAGACTCCGTCTCTACGCCAAGTTCTTGGTCGATATCTGTGTGGAACGAAGGAGGCGTGAATCTTCGATCCTTTGAAGTGATATTGAGCCGACTTGGCAGTCCAGCGTGGTCGTAGTAATGGACGACTCGACCGAGAGATATCGGGCGAGTGATTCATGCTCGACGGAGAAGGTGCAGAGAGCTAGATGTGTGGCAGGTGGGCTGTGACAGAGGGGTCGGGTGCCGCCAGTACGCGGAGGGCACTGGAGAGGCTTTTTTTTGCGTGTCGAACCCGGAGGTCGTTCTGTACATGGAGGAGAGCCCCAGGAAATAGCGTAGTGGTATATCAAAAATCTCGACAAGGTCTTGAGGGGGGGTCACTCCGCCACGAGAAACGAGAGAGGGGTGGATTAGTCTGATGATTTTCCGATCGCGTCCTCGCAAAATGTCTTGAGAACGTTGATGTGCCTACAGCGGGGTGATCGTGTGGATAAGGAAAAGGAGAAACACACACCCAAACACCGTAACGAGCGGCTCTGAGGTGCGAGGACAGTTCCGTGGTTGTGCGGCTCTAACCAGTGGGCGCGCGCGACTCGAAGACGGATGGCGAATGCGGGCGCTAAGCGTGGGAACGGGACGAATGAGGCAACGGCGCCTCCGGAATACGAGTGAGAGAGCGAGGAACGAGGGAGGTGAGAGACGGAAAAACGAACTAAATTCTCTATATTGTGTGAGTGTGTAGACATGGATTATATCTATGAAGAAAGAAGAGCCCGGCAAGGAAGATATCCGAGCCGTGGGTGAAGGAAGAAAGAAAAACAGAAAATTTTAGATAAGAATGAAACAGGAATGGAATAGGGGAGAGGCGGCGAGGCGGCAACTGCGTTGATGGGGGAAAAGGCTACCTAACAAGGAAAGGGAGGCGCGCCGAGCGTCTCGGTGAAACGGGAAAGAGAGGAAAAGAGGCGGTGCCAGTCACGAGACGGATGCTTTTGCTGACTGAGGATCTCCGGGTGTGTCGAGGAACCATATGGCTCTATGGGAAAGGCATCGGGGATCGAGGGAATGGCGGGAATGCAATGACGAAGGTCGAAAAAAGGGATTTACCGGGGTCAGGGAGCGGTCCAGTTCATCAACGTGCTGTTCGGCTGAACTCCTGGACGCTGTGAGGGCGGCGGCGAGGGGTGAACAAAGAATGTCGCAGTCGTGGTGTAAGGCCAAAAGATCGCGAACGGTCGTAGATTTGAGTTGCTCGATCAATACCACCATCCAGACATCTTCCTTGCCTCCTCCTCGAAAACGACGAGCAAGATCTTGGAAACGCCGACTCTGAGCGTCGAGGCCGACCGGCGAGTCCAGCTTGATCGAGGTGGCAGCATCAAAGAAGAGGCATCGGTTGCCTTCACGGGAGAGACACTGGGAAGAACTCCAGAGAGTCGAACTCATAATGACGAGAGGAGGGATGGATTAATGGATGGTCGAGAGTCGGATATGCCACTGCGGCCCTGGGCCGAGGGTTGGGAACATGGGCCAGGATGAAGGCGGAGCGAGGCAGGACAGCCGACGCCCAGCGCGTGAAGCGGAGAGGTTGTTTATGGGCGTGACGATGTGCAGAGGGAGTTGTGGAAGGTTCGGAGGGGCAGGACGGCATGCGAGAGGTACTCCGAGTCCGACAGAATCCTAGAGAGTGTGACGGAACCAGCAGAGGCAGGGTAGGATATTGGTTTGTGTCATGATCGCGGACGGGGTGTATGAGAGGTATTCAGATCGTGTTGTTTGCGGGAGGCCGCTTGAGGAGCAATATCCTGGATCGAGGACTTGAACGTTTGAACGCTGGGCGTAGAGTAAGTAGAGGAAGGCGGGGACTATGCATCAAGGAGAGTGCCGCGTGTCTGTTGGCTACCGTTGTACGTATGCCCAAGATGAGGTGGATCGCGGAATGGTGGTTTCGGAGGACGGAGTGCAGAGAGGAAGGAGTGACCTCAATTGACGAGGGGATGTCGGCCAAAATGGGCCGGCATGTAGAGCACCGGGCCGGAACAAGCCGGTCGTCTCCTACAGAACGCTTGAGACAGCTCGAGCCCAACTCGGATGAGCAGTCACCGAAGGAGAGGGGCTGGCACTAGCTTTCCATTTTCCATATGATGACGGAATGAAGTAAAAGGTGTTCGTGCAAGAGATGTAATTGCGACTCTCTACTAAAATGATATGATGTATATGAGTGTCGGGTGACCACATAGGTATGTACTATTTCTATCCACAGAAGATAGAGATAACGCAAGCCACAGTGCTGCTCTGCTCTACAATACTAGCCTCCTGTAGTCGGTTGTCGGTTCAATGGCCCTCGCCGGCGATCCTCGCGCTTGTGAGTGCGTGGGCGCTGGCGGCAAACCCAGTCTCCTCCTCCTCCTAAATCTGCTCGGAGTCTGGGGTTCTTCCTTTTCAGACTCTGAGCATCGACTTCTGGAGGGCTCGTGAACGGTTCGAATTCGGGTTCGGGGTTCTGACAGGGCTCCAGGTCCTTGTGACTTGACTTGCGAGCGGGAGGCGAGAGGACCTGGGTGACAGGTGAGCCGCAGCGCTTGAGCCACCGTCCTCGTCCAATCAGTGGAAGAGGGAAGCGGTGGCATTGATTGTTGGAAGTGAGGTGGTGATAGGACAAGGTTTATACTACCAGGGCCTGGAGCTCGAGCGCTTAAGCCGCGGGTCCTAGGGCCAATGCCAGCACCACACCTAGTACACGAGGGCTGCTTTTCCGGTCCGTACGCCCTAGACGCCATCACCATCGACGCAGGTGAAGCCGATTTCTCAAGCGCTCTTGGGACCTCTAGGGGGACTTCGTGGGCCTCAGCCACCGGCTCAATGCATCTTGTTCAGGGGCTGCTTCCGCCATCGACACCATTGGCCATTTTCGTGCAAATCACAGCGAATCCTGATGGTCAGACGTCAGTCAACCCGATTAAACATGTGAGTATGTATCACCGACATACGTACCACGATCGCATCATTTAGCTCCTCATTCTCGATGCTGAGAAAGCTCGAACCAGCCGGGCGTTAGCTTGTTCCGGGTTTCCGGACCGACGGGTCGCGACGCAGACGGCGCGGGGGCACAGCAATCTCGGAAGCAGGACAGGAGGAGGAGGGAAGGGAGGAGGATGGTGGTCTTTTGGAACCATAGTTCGGAGTTGAAACGTTGAAGGTTGAGTGGAAGAGTAGGTGTGTCTCAAGTTGGAGATAGAAGGGGTGGGTCTGTTAGAGCGACACCCCCTCGTCTGAGAGCCGCCTTTTATGCCTCCCAACACCTCTGTGGCCCACTGTGGTTCAGCACGGCCACCTCTGGGCCATACACCAAGAGCCTTCGATTATCCGTTTCTGGAAGATAACCTCGGTGGCCCGTCTGCCGTTGCGACATTGGTGGGTGGGTGGGGGCAAGCACTCGTACAGAGTCGGAGTTGACTCGGTGTTGCCTAAACAGGATAGCAACAGTGTGCGCCACACAACTTGCAACTGAACTGATCGTCCTCTAGCGATGTTCGATGAACGCGCTGGTCCATACGTGGCCCCGGGCCCTGCCCAGCGTCGAAGTCTATTGTCAGGTATTACTTACCAGTCTCTTTCTCCCCTTCATGGGAGCTAGATGGTTGGTGATTGCGGTCCGCTCGTCCCGCTCGTCCCACGCGATCATTGATCCTCGCCGCCTCCCTTGACAGCCCCAGTGTTGTCTCACAAATTCACACTTATGTAACATATTCTCCATGTACCCTTACCTCTCTCTCTACTCGTTGTAACATTTACCCTGCAGTTTTAGGGGTTCCCTTACATAAGTTGTAAGGCTTGAGAACAAAATACCTGCTCTCTCTCGCGTGCTGAGGGACTGACGTACAAATATACAGCCTAAATGTGATCTCACTAGTGTAAGTTATATATTTAAATGCATAACAGACCTTAGTGGTTGATCCCCCGGCTTCTGATCAGTCTCTTATTGACCGTGAAGTGTCAAGGTCTAAACAGCCAGTCAGACTTTAGATACAACTTCAATTATTACACACCATTTTCTCTTTCAAAAAATGAGAAAAGCTATAGAAGGGACATTATCAATGTATTCTAATAACTCTAAACCATTCAGATGGGTAGAGGGCTTTGTACTCTCGAGGAAATTCGGCCTTGAGGGCGGTGCCAAGTAGAATGTGGCTGTGCTGAGCTGGGCGTCTATGTTCGCAATCCCGTTTAACTTGCCGTCACATCCTCTGGGATAACTTTTGAGTGCTCTAATGTATTTAATGCATCATGAAGAGTCTATAAGCAAAAATTGGTATAATACCGGTTGCCCATTCGCCTTGTGGGAGCCAAATTAGAAAGGCCTATCATCCCTGGTTGTTCCTCTTCCCCGACTGGGCTTTGATGGGACGAAGGGTCAGTAGAACTGTGAAAAATAAATAAGAGGAGAACTGGAGAGATGAGGCGACATACCTTGTATATGATGTCCATTTTTCAGTTCCCGACGTCACGATATGCTAAAATCTTTCCTAGGAGAGTGTTAGAGGCGTGAAAACCTATATGAACGTCCGATCGCGAGTTACTAAACGAAACCAAATACTACCTTGAGTTGCACCTACTCAAGCCCAAGCTCCTGACAACCCACAACGGCGACCAATGTCCTGTTTATCAGCCATGCATTGAAGCGTGAGCGTGCGTGCCCGTTCATAGCTCTGCAAGTGCAAAACATCGACTTGCGTGTCTCGCAGAACGACTTATGAGTATTTCTCGAGCTGTTTCTTTGTGCTTCTTGCGGGAAAGGTATGAAACTTGTCTATTTATTCGTCTAGCCATTCACACACGACGTTTGCTTGTTCATTATGTAATTTACACGAGAGGTTTGCCTGAGCTCCGCACGGCGCTTGGGAAGAAAAGTAATTTCTCATTGTCTTTTCCTTAGGGTCGTTCGCTCTCTGCTCGGCAATGTGAATTTTAAAAAACAGTCTTTGATTCTACCTCCAATTTCACTCGAGGCCGCTCGCCTTCGCCCCTCTGTCGCACGAGGCGCTCCGTCGGGCCAAGCGACTTGCGGCGGGTTCAAGGTTTAAACGTTTACTTTTTGCCCAGCTGCCGTGAACCCAATCGCGACAGGTAAAACGGAGGGAAAAGGTCGACCCCGACAACTTTAAAAGGTGTCAGGGGGATAAACTTCTTCGTTTTGTTATGCGCAGAAGAAGTTCGCAGACGATGGTGGATTTCGAGCTGCTTGAGCTAACCCCTTCGCCCCGTCTTTGTCTCTGAAACACCATTTTGGGTATCGGAACTCAGGGCGACAGTGAGCGGTGAGCGTGGCGGTAGCTCCTTTAAATGAGTTGTGGGTTGTGGTGCAGTAGGGCGGACCTCAAAGGAAGGGAAAGAAGTTTGGGCAGTCGGGTTCATGAGATCCCGCACATGCCACAGAAGGGTCAGACGTAACTACTAAGCATAGTGCAACCGCGACGCTTCATGGACCTCGACAAGGTTAGAGCTAGAGAGGGTGCTAGAGGGTGGATCCGAGAGAGATGAGTGACATGGACTGTGGTGAGGCGTCCGAAGTTGAAGACGGTCATGAGGGCGACGTGGCGCCGTCGAACTTTCGGGCCGGAGGCCATGCACCCTTCGCGTGAGACCGTTGAGACCGTGAGCCAAAGCGATTCCAGTGAATCCAACTTTAAAATACATCAGATTCTCCCGACTGTCAACGGGAATTTGATGAATTCGCTGATAGAATTGGAACGCAAATCAGCTCGGGTGCGATGGGTATAGATAAGGGACATGTGAGGATTTCCCGCCAGTTTCACCTCACTGCGACTCCTCCGGAACACCCAGCACTCCCGTCCCTCATTTTCTGTTCTTTTCTATGACATCACGGCTAGTCGTAGTTGACGATGCCGACCCAAGGATCCAGTACGATCCAGGATGGACCGCCCACTCAAATGTTCAGGACAACCCGGGAAACGGGGGTCCACCCTTCCAAGGGACAGAGCACACGGCAGACAGAAATGCGACTGCATCGTTCACATTTACAGGTGAGTTTTTCTGTGCTATCGCCAACTTCGACCAAAATCACCAAACCATCACCTACTTGCTGTGTCAGGAACAATGGTCCGGGTCGAAGGCAAGTTGGACGCAGGTGAAGTCAATGGCCGGCGGGATCCCGATATCGAGTGTTCCATCGACGGAAAATCCATCGTAGGAATTGGCTTTTATACCACCTCCGACAATTACACGAGCCACCTCCCCTTCTGCACCGTGCCAGACCTCCCTGATGGCGAGCACACGTTGACTGTTAGTGCCATCACCACCGGCGCACGGACGATTTCAGTGGACCAGTTCCAGTACATGTCCTCTCCGACTATTAATATCGACAACGAAAAAGTTCTAGTCGATGCAACTTCCGACAATGTGAGATATAGCTCTGGATGGCAGAGCAAGGTGTGGTACAGCTATACCTATGATCGCGGTGAGAGCGTTATCCTGGATTTCGTTGGTGAGTCCTTGCCCTTGGTGAACCGGTAACCTCGAGCTCTAAATCTCCATTCTCGTAACAGGTGTGTCTGTGCAATGGTACGGCGTAGCACCGAATCTCTCCCAAGCCAATGGACCGTCAACGGCAGGCTACATGGTCGACAGCGGAGAGGAAGTCAATTTCACCCTACCCGGCATTCCTGAAGGCAGCCCCACGGGTGACCTCCGAAATGTTTTGATGTTCGAAACACCCACACTGTCGCCTGGGCGGCATCAGCTGAAAGTTACCCACTATGGAGACTATTTGTCGACGCCGCTCTCCCTCGACTACGTGGTGGTCCAGAATTCTACGGTTCCCGCGGGCTCATCATCAGGGTTAGTCCAACTAAATCTTTCCTTCAGACAATCACAAGCTCAAAGTCAAACTCTACGTCTTCTCCCCACACTGACACCAGCCTTCCAATAAGCGACGCATCATCGAGGTCCACCCCCATCGGTGCGATCGTCGGAGGAGTCATCGGAGGAATTGCCATTTTACTGCTTACTGCTCTTTTCCTCCTGATCCTACGGCGTCGCCGATGGCGAGGACTATCCACCGACGGGTACATCCACCGAGAAATGAGCGACATTACTCGCGCAACGCCTTACCCTCAGGACAGTAGCAACCCTTCGACGATCTACAGCTCATACTCGCAGAGTGGGCTGATGGGCCTGTTCCGTTCGAAGGGCTCACAGCAAACGGTAGGCCCAAGTCAAGGAAGCTCGCGGTCGAAGACGAGCCAGCTCCCACCACCATCAAGTTCGTACCCCGAGCTAGAGTCGAGGGAGGCACCTCCGCCTCAGTATTCTGAAGTTGTCTCTCCCCATGGCCCTCCTCCCGCTGTCCCGCCGGCGAAGGGGAGGGCTCACATTCCTTGACATTTAGACCCCATTCATGATCAGCCCTCGTATGCATTGGTATACCAGGTTCTGGTATATATATACCTATAGCTAAGCTACAATAACCATCACTCCTCCAACTCCGCTTTGTATTGTTTACCGTGGATCGTGGAGTGTGGAAAGAGTATGGACGAGACCAGACAACCCAGGAAACCCTCACATTACTGATTTCTACATACAGCATTAGTTCTGTATTCGGTTTTTGGACGGAAGCATACGAGGCTCGAGCCCGGACCCCCTTATCGCAGAGGCAGGGATTTTTTCAATCAGGAAGGGAGAAACAATTCTTGACACGTTAGTGTGCTTTCTTGTGTTCTGAACTCCTTGATCCAAATCTACTATCGAATGTGGATGTCGATGACATGAAGAAAACAGCGCACCCGGCGTTTTACTAGATGCCCTATTTCGGTTAATTATTTCCCGAATTTAGAAATCCTTCAAGACACCCCCCTAACGCTGCTGCTATTCAGCTGCTCTCGCTAGGACATGTATCACATTCCGATGGCCTGCAATTAAATTAAATTAACCACGTCATGTAAATAGCAGTGTAGTCACCGTCAATCATTGCGAACGCACGAATTTGCTCTTCGATGAACCTTTAATCTTCCCATCAAGATATCCATTTCCCGAATTCCTTTCCAGCTTCGTCGTTCTCTTTTCCACTCATCCAGATGACCCAGAACTCAATTTCAATGTTCTGTGAAACAGAAAAAGAATGGCGCTATAACTGACGTCATTCACCCCTTTTCCTGCCTCACGGTCTCGGCCCGGCCAATTCATGGATCGCTAGAAACACCATTGTGACCTGCTGTTCGTATTATACCACTTCCAGCGAGCTGCGTATTCCGACGATCCTATTCAACCCGATCAGACACATTCACTGCCAGCTCATTCCCTACTCTATTGCACTTGGGAGCCCGGCATTGCCCTGCGACGAAACTGCGGGCTGAGGCTACGTCTAAGCCTCAGACTACCATCTTCCTACCCTGCTCGCAGTGCCAAAGTCACCGCCGTATTTCGACGCTTTAACACCGACTGCACTCCCGTCGCGCCCCGACCACATCTTCATTAACCCTCTCACCATCTCCCTCTCAGCATCGCCATAATCGCACACCTTGCTTCAAGTTATTACGGCACGGACGCAGAGAAATGACCATCAACAACCTCCCACGAGGCTTCTTGCGCCGAGCGAGCCTCACAATCACACCTCTCTCTGGACCTTCGCCGTCACCTGCTCAGCCTGGTGCACTCGGTTTTGTGTCAGCGTCTGATTCCCCTACCACACCCGCATTTGCGACCTCGTCTTCCCAAACAATCGGCTCTGCCAACTCGACGTCTCACTCAAGGACGTCAACAACGAGTGCTCGGCGTGCATCGACGGGTGACGCGACCACAACAAACTCCAGTGGTATCGATGTCCTCAGGTCGGACTACGCAAGAAGAGATGCCTTGAAAGTGAACCACGGGGAATCACGCGGCCACCGACATCACCATTCGACCTCGACTTCGAGCAGTTCGAGCTCGAAGTCCAAGAAACATCAGAAGACGCACGACGTGCACGGCCACGTCCTGCCAAGCCATTAGTAGTATGCGTATGGGACGTTCTTCTAGTGCACGGAGGACAGGACATGGAGCAGTTGGCTTCCTCTGCGATTGTGATGCGGTCCAACCGTCGAGAGTTCCAGGAGCATGATTCAGGGAGCAGGACAGCACTAGGTTCGAACGAGTATCCTCTTCAGGATCGGTGGTACAATTTATTATCCTTGGGTTATTTGCCGGCTAGTTGATACCTATAACTCCCTTGCCTTTTGCGAAACCTATGACAATGGTGTGAGCGAGAGGTAGCTCGTGTCTCGTTGGTATTTATTATTCGCTTTATTTATTCGATTTCTTCACTGTATCTCGTGTATCGGTTCTCATGTATGTATTTACTTAGGCATAGTCCTTCAGCTGTACTTTTACTGTACCTCTTTGATCTCCCTTTGGTCTCAGCTGGCGAAGTCGGCGGACGCAATTATCTTATCAGCAATTATCTTATCAACCCGGGCTGTCATGCTTCCGGCTAGAGGTGTACGTACGTGTGAACTTTATTCCTCTTTCGTCTCATGATGCAGCAAGCTCCGTTGCTCTGGAGCGACTCGATTAGTCTTGAACAAACCTTCATCTCCGTTTTTCGTTTTCTCCTCACATCTCCTCACTCCCCCTTCTACTTCCTGCACACGCACCATGCAATCTGCAGCCCGGACGCCACCGGCGACGTACGCACCAGCCGATGGTTCACGGACGCTCACGATTACAAACGACCCGACCCGCGAAGAGGGCGATGACGATGAGAATATCAACTCGGATTCAGGGCGGATCGTTGGATCGCTGAGGGTGCGCGCGGGGCGGTCGAGGGACGCACCAAGAGTGGCTTGGGACGAAGATGTGGTGGATAATGAGGGGTGCGGGAAGAAGAAATCGAAAAGTATGTCTCAATTCTCAATCATTTCGTACCCCTGTTACAATTCTTCTGACGATTTTATGCTTCTAGTATGTTGTATATATCACAAACCAAAGCAATTTGATGAATCCTCGGACGAATCGTCTGACTCGGACTCGGACTCGAGCTGCGGCGGCCACAACCACGACCACAACCACAACCATCCACCAGCCCCTAGGCCCAGCTCGAGCGGTCAGCAGCCAAATCCCTCTGGGACTGTTCACCAGCTCGAACCTTCCGAAGGTCATAAGCCGAATGCTTATGAGAAGCAGCCCCATTCGAAGAAGGGGAAACATCGAGCAGGTGCGAACATGCTTTCCTTTACCTCTTGACAACTTGGCTGATCTTAAACCTTTAGCATGATCTAACTGCACTGTATATCCCCTGCGATGCATACACGCGCAGCTATTCGGCCTTTTGGGCGGTACCATATCTTCGACATCATCAACGAAACCACAGCAGCATTCCTTTCAGTCGTCAAGTTGCAGGATACATATATCCTAATCGATGTTCTTGGGCTGGAATATAGTAATTTGTATAATTTCCACGAAATTCCGCCGTTTGTGCTTTGTGGCCTTTGTAGGGGCGGGTTTTGTCATTCCCTCTCAACGATTTTGACGCTTCGCAAGTGTGAACCCAGCATATAGCCGGGCAAATGCAACGAGTATCTGGCGATCGCATGTTTTTTGTTTAGATTAAATTCATTTTGATTCAGGAATCTCCGAAGATTTGTTGGCTGTAAATGGAGGTCTTTGGTGACGAAATAGCTGGCCCTGGCGGGAGCCTCAGTGCGGAGGAAGGATGCTCGTACGTAGAGATAAATTCCATGAAAATCTCCTGGTAATAAAGGTAGGGTATGAAAAGTGGCGAGATATCATTTGCTGCCTGCGTAAAATAACGTATCGATGCAAAACGAGGGTGGCGGGCGTAACGATAACTTCTTCGCATGAAAACTCGGTATCGTGGTGCATGAAGCCCAACTACAACGAGCGGGAAAGATTAAGGAGCGAGAACCGTCCCCTTCGGAGTTGGAACAGTTGTAGGAGGCGTAGGAGGCCCACGAAGAGGTGCAATGTCCGAATACTGAGGTGGAGGTAGTTCTCCAGAGTCAGGCCGCGAACTGGACGATGCGGCGTTAGAGGTCGTCGCAGCAGGGGATGCGAGAGGTGAAGTCGGCGTCGGCGAATATGGATTGTAACCCTGCTGCACCAGCCCCACCTTCGATTGCGAATGGTTCAACAGCTGTACCTGCGAATATCCCTGCGCCAGCGCCTGCTGTGACCCCTGCCGACTGTGGGGGCTCACCTGCCCATCCTGCGAATACGGGCTATACGTGGTCGACGGGTCGCGTCCGTCTTGCACGTAAGGAGTTGGGCGGGTGAGGTCGATCATCTCTGGTGGAATGTAGCCGTCGATGGATTTGTCGACGATGGGACCGCCATGTCGTCGTCTGCGCCGGAGGAGTAGTAGGAAGATGCCGATGAGGACGAGGAGGGCAATTCCGCCGATGACACCTCCGATGATTGCGCCGACAGGGGTGGATTTCTCAGACTCCGCACCGTTGTTGATTGGGAGGCCGGTGCCAGTGGAGGTGGTGGTACTGGAACCAGAAGTTGAGCGGGTCGTCGTTGACGAAGAACCAGGAATGACTGACCCTGATGCTGTGCCCGACGAGGGAGAGGTGGAAGAGGTACTCGAACCCGACGGGATGGTGGCATTTTGTATGAAGATGTAATCGACCGACAGTGGAGTCGAGGTGCTGCTTCCGTAGTGCGTAACCTCGAGCTGGTGGCGGCCAGGAGATAATCTAGAAGTTTCGAATATTAGGACGTTGCTGAACCCTCCGGCGGGACTGCCAGCTGGAATCCCAGGTAGGGTGAAGTTAACTTCCTCTCCGCCGTCTATCTTGTACCCTGCTGTTGATGGTCCATTGGCCGTGGGGGCATTCGGTACGAAACCGTACCACTGCAATGAGACGCCTAAACAAGAAAAAAAAATTAAATCTCGACATAGGTTCTTACATTAGGAGGAAAACGCACCAACAAAGTCGAGGACCGCGCTCGCTCCTGTCTGGTAGGTATGACTATACCTGCTGTCACTCTGCCAACCAGGACTATACCTCACAGAGTCGGTATCGATCTGAACCTTCGCATTGTCGATGTTAATGGTCGAAGAGGCCAGGTACTGGAACTGGTCCACTGAAATCGTCCGAGCTCCGGTGGTGCTGGTGGTTAGAGTGAATGTATGCTGACCATCAGGGATGTTTTGCCTGTTGCAGAAGATCCAGTGGCCGGTGAAGCTGGTTGAATATCCGCTTCTCGGAATGTCCTCTCCGTCGAGGATGCAGTCCCAGTAGGGATCCGGCAGTCCAGTCGCGTTGTTTCCGTCTAGCTTGCCCAGAACGATAATCGACGTTCCTACAGAGCCATGAATGGTTGTTGGATCAATGTTAATGCCAGTCCTCCTTACCAGTGAATGTTAACGACACGGTCGTATTCGTATCAGTTGTGTGCTCCGTCCCATCGAAGGGTGGTCCCCAGTTTCCGGGGTTGTCCTGAACATTCGAGTGGGCAGTCCATCCGGAGCCGTACTGGACGATGGGGTCCGCATCGTCGACCATGACCCATCGTGAAGTCATCTTTGTTGGTGAAAGGACCGCAAGAAGGGAGATACGATGGGAAGGAGTGTTGGGCAACGTCGCGGAAACGACCAACTGCGACGGGTGTCGAAAATGCGTGGTCCTACACGACCCTTATGGCGCCCATCGACCCTGTGCCCGAGATGATTGGCATTCCCATTCAACTTAGCGCGCTCATGACGCTTCTCAACTGAGGTCTTGAATCAACATGTGAGCTGAGTCAAGCCAAGCCGACTTGCCTGTGGAACGAGCGGTTGTTAATCTAATAACGGCTGTACGAGGGGAACTGAAGGGCGCCTACCAGGCCATGTGTGGTGAAGGGAAGAAGAAAGGCAGGAAAATTAACTCGAATGCAGAACTATCGAATGATTAGATAGCAGATTAGATGCTTCCTGCTTCCGGGCCCACCAATCCATCCTCGCGGGCCCTTGCCGTTACAGCCCTTTGCGGAACTTAGGGCGCGGGCCGTTTTTTTTCCAAAACAGGTCGATCTGATGGTTCGAGTGAGGTCAGGACTCGTTCGTAGAATAACTTCGTCAATTTAAGCCCGTTTCTAATAAAAATACAATCGTTGGACTTGGATTGAAATTATGCCTTAAATGGTGTCCAGAAAGGTGGGGTAGAGTGAGGGAATGAGGAATATTGACTGGAGGAAGATTCTGATGAGGTGGCGGCCATTCACTTTCGTCAAGCTCTCCTCTTAGGCTAATTCTCCCTTGAACAAAGCTTTCTTGCAATTAGAGATCATTTACATTAGAAATAGGGCATTAAATGAGAGCCCAGGGTGAAGTTGGTGGGGCAACGCCGCTGCTCACAATGCACATACATACGTGGATGAGGGGATGTCCACTTTCCAACCTGAAAACTACCTAGAAGCTTCACATTTTTACAAAATCATTATGTACTTACTTGAACTAAACTGCGAATATCTTTTTTCTAGTTGAGAGAAATACAATGAAGACAGCCCAACACCAGTTCTTGTAGGCCGCTCAAACACTGTCTTTACCCATGTCCAAAGGACGCTGCAGGCCTAGTCGGTCGTAGATACGGTTTTTTCGTGTCAGTGTAGCACCAACGTGTCAAGAACTCTCTCCATTTCATGGTTCCAGGCAGTCCCAGGTCCAGATGAAACCACTGGGGGAAGCCCTCGCAATCTCTTGCAATCCGGTGATGAGCCAGCCCGCTGCCTAGCCTCGGAAAATCCCTTTTTTCGACTTTCGTCATCGCATTCTCGTCGTCCCCTCGATCCCCGACACCTTTCCCATTGAGCCATATGATTCCTCGACACACCCGGAGATCCTCAGTCAGCAAAAGCATCTGTCCCGTGACCGGCACCGCCTCTTTCCCTCTCTTTCCCGTTTCACCGAGACGCTCGGCGTGCCACCCTTTCCTTGTTAGGTAGCCTTTTCCCCCATCAACGCAGTTGCCGCCTCGCCGCCTCTCCCCTATTCCATTCCTGTTTCATTCTTATCTGAAAATTTCTGTTTTTCTTTCTTCCTTCACCCACGGCTCGGATATCTTCCTTGCCGGGCTCTTCTTTCTTCATAGATATAATCCATGTCTACACACTCACACAATATAGAGAATTTAGTTCGTTTTTCCGTCTCTCACCTCCCTTGTTCCTCGCTCTCTCACTCGTATTTCGGAGGCACCGTTGCCTCATTCGTCCCGTTCCCACGCTTAGCGCCCGCATTTGCCATCCATCTTCGAGTCGCGCGCGCCCACTGGTTAGAGCCGCACAACCGGGAACCTGTCCTCGCACCTCAGAGCCACTCATTGCGGTGTTTTGGGTGTGTGTTAGTCATTCCTTATTCGCACGATCACCCCACCGTAGGCACATCATATTGGAGCCCACCGCGAGGGGTTCCACATCCACATTGCACCTTCTTACCCCGCCGCCGACTTCGACACGACATCGCACACTCGTTCAGTCTCTCCTTCGCATCGTAATATCCTCTAATCCCATTTATTCGATCCCACCAATCTCGTTCCGTCACTCCTCTCACATCCCTCCATCGAGTCCAACTCCCCATCACGTCGTACACCTTTTCCGCCCATCATGTTGGCCCCATCCCTGATCTATATGCCGCCCCGTGGTGACGAAACGGCACCAACGTTCGACCCATCGAAGCCTCGAGAGCTCCGGCGCTACTTTTGCGACCTCGAGTTTCTTTTTGACTACGCCCAAGTCACGGACCACGCTGCACGCAAGAAACACGCAACCCGTTATGTTGATATCGACGTCGCCGACCTGTGGGAGTGCATCACCGAATTCTCGAGTGCCGACGCCACCTACAATGAGTTCAAGACCGCCGTAATCAAGCTGTACCCTGAGGCCGACGAGGACTTCAAATTCTCGCTTTCGGACATGGATCACGTCGTCGACAGCCGCCTTCGACTTGGGATACATTCACTCAACGACCTCGCCGACTACCACCGTGAATTCGCAGCCGTTACGATCTTTCTCGTTACCAAAGGACGCCTCGCCACGATGGAGCAAGAACGTGCATTCGCCCGAGGATTCCAGCCCAATTTCTGGTTGCTCGTTGCTCGACGCCTGCAAATCAAGGACCCGGATCACTCCCCAGACATGACATACACCATCGAGAACGTTATGGACGCCGCGCGCTTCGTCCTTCATAGATTTTCTAGCACTATTCCATCACCCTCGCCCACAGCAACGACTCCGACGACTTCTCCGCCACCAGACTCTGTCAAACTCGAAGCTCTTGGTCCCATCTTCTCAGAACTCACCAAGACGATCGTCGAAGCCCTTCAGCAGTCGAACCAGCCTCGCCAGCCTCGTTCGTCGTCGTCTCTGACCCCGGTAGCTTGCAAGTTTTGCGGAAGCGCTCATTTCATGCAGGATTGTGATCTCGTCAACGAGTACTCTCGCACTGGCAAGTGTAGGCGAAACGTCGAGGGAAAGGTTGTCCTTCCGTCAGGAGCTTTCGTCCCTAAGGAAATCCCCGGCCATTTACTCAAGGATCGCGTAGACGAGTGGCATCGTCGAAATCCGAACCAGCTCGCCACTGGCACCCTTTTTCACTCGACGGCACCACCCTCCATCATTGAATATTCGCCCTCGTCCACTGCGACTCGATCTACACACCAGACCTCGAAGAAGGATCGCATCGCCGCCATCGAAGCCGAGTTACTCGCCCTCCGTGCTCGACAACCACCCAGTTTCGTGCCCACCGCCCAAATGCTCGCTCAGACGCCTCATGCCGTTTTCCAGGATGAAGGAGAAGTTACTCCGACCGCCCCGCCGCTTCCTGACGCCCCTGTGCTTTCCACTGACCGAGATATCGCACCAGAACGCACTATTCGAGACGCAGCAGACGCCATCTATGTTTACTCGCAAGATAAGGTCATTTCCGCCGCACTCGAGCAAGAAACGCCCAAGAAACTCGGCATCACGTATCTCATGTTACCACCCGTGAACGACATCGAATCGGCGCCCGCCAACTGCGACATTTCGTCGAGTACTCCGCCCGTCATCACCCTGCATGAGCTCCCATCCCTATCCCCCGAAATTCGACCTCATAGCTTCGACACTACAACCACGCGATCCCAGACGACCCAAGAGACTCGTACACACGCTACTGCACTCGAAGACGACGCCGTTGACCCGCCACTGCCTGAGAAATCCGCCGATACGTTCCATTCAGCCCCTCCGAGCGTCGCACTTACCTCCAGCCCATATCCCAGCCCACCAGATGCATCCATTGCCAATTTCGACAGGTACAAGCCTTCCTATCGCACTCTCGATCCCGACGACACTCTCGATCCCAATAGCCCCATTAAATTGAAGACTTCGGCCACTTTCTGCTCCTATCCCCCTCTAGACAACGAAAATCGACGCCTCGAACGCCTTCTCGACCCCGGCGGTCAAATTTTCGACTCTCAGCCTTTCATTTCCCCATCAGCAATCGTTCACGACAATCCGCTGCAGCCACACACGTCTCGACAACCGACGCCGCCGCACACGCCGCTACTGCACTTCACAAACAGTCAAAATGTCTCGAAGCATTTCGTTCCCAAGTATCCGTCACCCACCAATGATCCGCCCCTCGAGAACGCGTCCGGACGACACGAGACTCTGCCCACATCCTCGGTACACCATTTCGCAGCCGTTGCGCCCACTCATCTCTTCGTTTTAGGATGCGCGCTCGCTGTTTCCATCCTCGCGTCGTTATTTTTAGCAGCCAAGACACCGCCCGTAGCCCCAGCAAATCCGACAACACATTCCTCGACCGCCAGATCACCGCCATTCGCACTTCTGGTTCTTTTCCTTGTCGTTCCTTTCCTTCTCGACTTCTCGATGATGTCTTTGGCCTTTCGCACTCTCGCCTTCAAGATATTCCGACGTCGACCGCCTTCGATCCCTACAACGACTTCGATGCTGTTCAATTCGCTTTCGAAGATTAGAAGGCACGGTTCCTATTTCAGTAGGGAGGACCTCGGCCTCAACACACCTCCAGCTCGTCGACTTCATCCGAGTCCTTTCACGTCTCCTTGTTTTCACTTCACTGTTCTGTAACCTAGCCACTCGATCCTTCGACTTCATGTTCCCAACTTTTGTCTTTGACAACAACCCCAACTCCATCGTTCCCATTCTATTTTTAGTTCTGATTTCATTTTATTCGAACTTTTCTGTTATCCTTCGCATTCCCCCGAGACTACAGCTATGATGGCTTTCTGAGCCGTAGCCTCTCGTCCTATTTTATTTTTATTGACCTCGCGCTATACATGACACCATTCCGACTTCATTTCGACACCCGCTGCCTTTCCAACAAGTCACCCGCGATTTCGACCACGAGGATCACATACAGACGAGACCATCAATGACCATCAACGGCATGACTGGGGACAGTCATGATTTCAGTAGGGAGGAGATGATGAGCCAGCCCGCTGCCTAGCCTCGGAAAATCCCTTTTTTCAACTTTCGTCATCGCATTCTCGTCGTCCCCTCGATCCCCGACACCTTTCCCATTGAGCCATATGATTCCTCGACACACCCGGAGATCCTCAGTCAGCAAAAGCATCTGTCCCGTGACCGGCACCGCCTCTTTCCCTCTCTTTCCCGTTTCACCGAGACGCTCGGCGTGCCACCCTTTCCTTGTTAGGTAGCCTTTTCCCCCATCAACGCAGTTGCCGCCTCGCCGCCTCTCCCCTATTCCATTCCTGTTTCATTCTTATCTGAAAATTTCTGTTTTTCTTTCTTCCTTCACCCACGGCTCGGATATCTTCCTTGCCGGGCTCTTCTTTCTTCATAGATATAATCCATGTCTACACACTCACACAATATAGAGAATTTAGTTCGTTTTTCCGTCTCTCACCTCCCTTGTTCCTCGCTCTCTCACTCGTATTTCGGAGGCACCGTTGCCTCATTCGTCCCGTTCCCACGCTTAGCGCCCGCATTTGCCATCCGTCTTCGAGTCGCGCGCGCCCACTGGTTAGAGCCGCACAACCGGGAACCTGTCCTCGCACCTCAGAGCCACTCATTGCGGTGTTTTGGGTGTGTGTTAGTCATTCCTTATTCGCACGATCACCCCACCGTAGGCACATCACCGGGCATTCTATACTCCATACATAGGGGATTATTTTATTGATTAGTGTATTCTCCATGTAAAAGTCTCTTCTGTACGCAAATTACGTGAAGACGGGTAACAAAAATGCTTGATTTTGTAGCCACCTCATTGAGGGGGTGCAAAATGAGCACGGATGAAATGCCTCAGCCTACTATGACATTCCTCCCACATATTATACACCATTCAACGCAGAATTTCAATACGCGTCCAACGATTGTATTTTTATTCGAAACGGGCTTAAATTGACGAAGTTATTCCACGAACGAGTCCCGATCCCGCTCGAACCATCAGCTCGACCCGTTTTGGAAAAAAAACGTCCCGCGCCCTAAGTTCCGCAAAGGGCCGTAAATACGAAGGAGACGCTCGTGTCTTCATTTGTCGAGTGTTGGGTTCCTTGAAACGGAGGGCCAGCGTACCCCGTCGCAGCGCGAATTCCTTGCTCGGAAACCCACTCTAGACCCATCGATCCTGTCCCCAAGATAACCTGTCCTTTCAGTACAATAATGTACTGAAGTAAGGCGCTGTAATGCGGCAGCACAGGAGGAAGGACTTTCCAAGTTAACAGGTACATCATGACTATGAAGAACGGATCGATCGCTTCTTCTACTTGGACTAGTATTGATGGGATTCTTTGAACAAACCAAGTCACCTCACAGGAAGCAGCCGATACTAGGGCTTACCGAACGCTACATGAGGGAAGAGGTTTCCATGCACGGGCGACGTGTTCGAGAAAGCCTTCAGCAGCATCTAGGAGCAGACAGTGTAAATTCATTAAATGTCATTACCGATATGATACACTCTGATCAATAAATTATGCAATTAACGACGAGGAAGGGTCCAAGGAAAGTTACGACACTTCCTCCATGTCCTCGTCTTCATCCTCATCTTCATCGTAGTCCTCGTCCATCTTGACGTCGCCGGACATGCTTGGGCCAGGGACGTTCTCCGCTTTCATCTATGACCAGCTAATCAGGCGCCAGACCAACAGCAAGAAACCAAGAAACGCACCCCGCTCTCTCTGAAGAGCTCCTTCAGCTCCCAAAGCCCGTTGTACTCCCCGGACTTGTGCAAGAAGGCGATCTCACCCAGAGTCTCCTTCAGGTAGACCTCGGGCTGCTGTGTCTTCTCGCGCAGAGGCTTAATGCTCCATCGTGGTGTTTCGCGGAACAGTGCAAAAAGTTGATCAAGGAGCTGATTCCGTGGCATACGGGCCATGCGCTCGAAGGTGCCCTTCGCTTGTTTCGGTTTCGTGCGCTAGTCAACGACGTCAGAGATTGTCACAATAACGCAGAGAAACGAAGAGTTGGGAGGACGTACAATAAGATCCCCGAAAGCACCCCCGGCACCGACACCAACACCACTACTGAGTCTGTTGACTCCTCCTCTGCCACCTGGCACCCCGGCGTCCTCTATCATCCTGATCTGGCGGGCAGGTGTGTTGTACTTCTTGTGCCGTTCCCTCATCTGTCTTCGGTAGTTCGCACTGAATGCAGGTCGGAGATTGCATTCGTGTTTTATTCGCCCAGTTAGAATCGTCGTTCGGGCTCGTGTGTTGGTTGTAGCAGCTGCGGTGGTGGATGAAATGCTGAGAGAAGAGTCCTTCGGTCGTTCTGCGACTACGATCTGGTTCTCGACGCTGTCGTTGACCATGTCGAGTTCATAGCAGTCTGGTTCGGTGCCTGTGGCGGAATATGACGTTGCTGTCTCGAATGTGGGTCGATTTGGGGGTTGTGAAGGAAGTGGGGCATTGGGGTCATCGGGGTCGCGGTTGGGAGGGAGGAAAAGGACTATTCGCGCCTTTTGGTTAGGCGCGTCCGGAGGTGGGTTGTACACCCGTAGTGTGGCTAGATGCACGTCCTCGACGTCGATAGCAGCCCACCGCTCCATGAGGAACTTGGGGATCTACATTGCGAGTGCAACGAAGAGACTGTAGCCCGTTCCTCGAGATAAGTGAGATGCCTCACGAACCTTGACGAGCCACACACGTCCATTTCCCTGGTCCAGCATGAGATGCTCGTCGGGATCTGGTTGCGCGTCGTCCTCCTGGGTAGTTTCAGCGTCAAATGACTTCTTCTCATCTTCGACCGGGCCTTCCATCGTGCTGGTTCTGTGTACTCTAGGTGACCTTGCGGCAATCTGACGGTCGAAGATTTCGCGTCAATGGTACAGACGTAGAAAGTTGAGTTGAACTTGCCAGGGTCGGAACCCAACGATGTAGTTCGTGAACAGGTGAACTAGCATGCCTTAGCCGCACAAGACGGGAATTCATTCTCAGCTTATCGGAGTGGGAAATGTGGCATGGACCTGGGCCAGCCTGGCCGAGCTGGCTGGAATGAATCTCCGACTACTGACTGCACGAACAGAAAAAGGAAATTCCAAGAAATTCCTCAACGTCAAGCCTCGAGACATCAATGCATCTTTCGCCAACTATTCACCCCTTCTCTACTATTTCACTCTAAAGCATGCTCTCAACCATCATACCCCGAATATCTCCGATCTCCAAGCTATCTAATGATGCACTCTCGCACATCTTCTCCCAAATTGCCAACATGGACGACGATTATGAGTTCGACTCAGCACCGCCAGAAGAAGTGGGATATCTCTGGGAGCTGCGCGCTCTGAACGCCCTCCGTTTCTCTTCACAGGTTTGCGCCGTCTGGCGCGCCATTATTCTCAAATCATCCACATTGTGGGCGAGCGTCCTCGACTTAGAATGTCTTAATCAGATCAACGAGGATTGGAGAAACGAAGTCCTCAGAAGAACCGGGCAAGCCCTCCTTTCCTTGAGGGGCCTCATTGACGGGGAGAACGAGAAAATTCGCTCCTGGTTCTCATCGGTCGTCGCAGAAAATTGGGATAGAATTCAACAACTCGACGTCACCTTGTCCCCGGCTACCGACCACAACTGCCAGGCCGTGTCCTGGATGTTTCTTGTTCAACCAAGCAAATACCTTCGTAGATTTTGCTTAAATATTCGACCACCGACTAGCACCGTACGTATAGCCAGAGTGCCGTTCAACGGCGACGCCCCTCTTCTCCAGGCCATTTGCACCCAGGGCATCACATACCCTCTTCAGGGCCCATGGCTATCTCAGCTCCGTCAACTAAGCTTATCGCAGCCCAACCCTCGATCCATCCCCTCTACCTATCATCTTCTCGACATCCTACGTACGATGCCATTGCTGGAATCACTCGTGATACAGGACGCCACACAGCATATCATCACAGACCAGCGGTTACGCCTTCGACAAAGTTCTCCTTCCGCATTTACAGCAACTCACGATCCGAGAAAATCTCCTGAGTTTTTACATCCTCCTCCACTGTATCCATCCTGGAGATGGCTGCTGCCTTTTCGTGGAGGCTGCTGACGACTCGCAAGGCACTATACCCTTCGACGGTCTCGAAAATATGCAAGATTTAATGTTTATGTGGTCTAGTGGATATTTCAAAGTGCATCCACCGAAAGCACTGCGGATCCACATGAAGCAACTAGAGTACAGAATTATTGAGCTTCCTTTCCACCCCGCTGGTCCACAAACCCGTTTCTACTCATCCTTCCGACCTGCCGCCACGGAGCATGCACGCGCTCTTCATCATTTCGCGAGCCTTGATCAGAGCTTCTTCCAGTCACTTACATATCTCGACATCGAAGCGAGCCCCGACAACGCGAACGATTCGGTCTTTCGTTTCTTGTTTGACCTCGATGGGCTGGAGGTGTCATCGATGCCGTTCAGCACCCTTCAATTCCTCTCAAGCCATCTCCCCCCTCGAGACAAGGACTATATCACTCTTCCTTCCTTGCAAACACTTACAGTCCGAAATATTAAGCAGGAAGTTCCAAACCTCGGTGCGGACGCGTTTAATGTGGCTAGCCCATTCACCAAGTTTCTCACCTGGCGGCAGGGTGAGGTGCCGCTCAAAAATTTAGACCTCACGGAGTGTGGGTCGGGCCTTCCGAACATGGGCTTTTTGGACACGTTCACCGGATTGAACGTCATTTGGACTGGGCCTGGAAGGAAAGAAGAATCGTACGTATGTGGGACAGGTAACCCGAATGTGCTTCAATTCTATGATGCTTGGCACGTAGATATAGCCATTGGATGACTTTCCCTGCAGATAAACACATATCGATAGATCCACTTTTGAAATTCGGCGCTTTTGATATTGTTTTAGTCGTGGAGAGTGCCATACAAGTTTCATGGTCGAGCTGATCGAAAGTTCTAGTTCTAAAACCTCATTCCAGGCTTCAAATTCTTCAAAGGTCCTGTTTAGGTATCTCAAAACTTAAGCTTGATATGTTCGCAAAGATAAGATAATCTAAACCGGCCCACCTCGTTTAGTGGAACGATTCCATTCGAACGTCCGACAGGACCGCTGTCTGAATCCATGGATGGATCGATTAGGGCGTCCTTGTCCTTCTTTTGAATGCTCATAATTTGGATAAATAGCAAAAGGCACCGCGAGCCTAATACGCACCCTGCACACTGTCGCATAAAGGAATTCCTCCAAAAAGACGACGGTGATCTGCGACTGAGAAGGCACAACTCAATTTTCTTTCGTTAAACTCGACGACAGATCCATTTTGGGAATCGGAATGCAAATAAGGAATCGCTGATCGTGACAGTGCGCCATTGTGGGCGCACTAGTGGGCGTGCATACCTGAGTTTTTGAACCCTGAATTTATGGACCTCTAAGTGGCGTCTTTCAACGTCACGGCCTGTTCGATCCTCCCCGGTGAGTTAGGAGGAGTGATGCTGATCAGACCCTCTATTCGCCCACAAATGATCGTTTGTGGGTCCAATCAATCGCTGTAACCCCAGTGGCTACCTTTGAAGGCCTAGTGCCTCGCGGTACAAGCCACGTTACCCTCCCACTAAATTCTCTCAAGTATGTTGAAGCGCTTGAGGTCCTCTAATCACGGATCAGCATGTCGATAGTTTGTATAGGATGGACCCACAAGGTTCATAAGACCTCCGAGTCCCATCCTCCGATGTCGGTACTCGGCAAAACCTCCAGTAAACTTGAGACTAATTACAGGCGTTCCAGTATAAGACTTGGAACTCAAGGTGCTCCGCTAGCGTGAAACGCGAAGGGCTTGACGGAGACGTTGTAGGCGGCGTCGGATGAATGATGAGCTCGAGCTCCGGCAGGTACGAACGCCACTGCTCCGATTGGGGGGTACTTCACGAGCATAGGAATTTTAATCGGTACCTTCCTTTTCTTCCTAAAGTCGAAGCTCTGAAGAATGAGGATCGTGCCCTCAGCTTCGAAATGGCATTTGGGAAAGGGGATGGAGATGAAGAGGGACTTGTTCAAGTCATTTGGCGGTCGAAAATGAATGAAGAACACGGTGGAGTCTACTAAAAATAATTAGGCACAGCGTAGACATGAGGCGAAATAACACTCTGATTTACCGTATAACTAAGCGATTGATTTGAATGGCCAGTCGGTGGTTTGACAGAGTCGAAAGTCTATAGTTACATATTTATTAGATATCGTCGGATGAAGAAGCTAAAGATAAAATGAAACAAGACGACACAATACGTGGTGAGGAGCTAAATTTCAGCTGTGATCTTCTGAGCATCGCTTCCCTTTTTTTCTTTTCTTGAACGGTGTCCGCGGAACCCCACGATCTGGAGAGAAGATCAAGCTGAAAACATTGATCCCGCGAGTCGCTATTCTAGTTCACGCAAGGAATAACCGAGGTGATAAGCAATCGAGACACCTCACGCTGCTGGAACGTTTCAACCATCATGAAAGGCATCCCGTAGGCGAAGTAACGGAGATAACAAGCGAGGTGGATGAAAATGGCAAAGTCCTTATTTGTCCTTGTTCGGGATTCAAAGACCCTACCCGGAGGATGAACAAAGCTGGGTAGCGGGCCCTGATATTATCTAGGAAGCATTTTTTCACCTTGTTTTAAATTTTAGAGGCGTGTTCGCATTTTGCCTTCGGCATTCAAGGTCGCAAGGGGCGTCGGGGCCGTTCATAAAGGTAGTATTCGACCGTGGGGACGTTCCAAAGATCCTTCTCGTCATTCCTAGTCTAATGGAAAACCTTAAGCAGCGTAGAAGAGATAAATAACTTCTCGCCTTTTGTCTCGGTGTATGAGAGCGCTCTAAGCGCCAGGCGTGCGAGGGTGGGGAGGTCTAATTGTCTTGTTGGCCTGATAAGGAAGGAGAGCCCTGAGCGAGCGGGTGCGCCCTTTTGTTCTGCGCTGCACATGACGGAATCGAAGGCCGTCATAGATGGGCTGTCGACTATTGTCTCGATATCACAGCCGATCTTCCTGTTCATTTGAGCAATGCCTGCAGGCAGTCCGTGGGTGCCGTATCCCCATCAGTGTCCGCCTCGATCCGGGCGTAACAAAAAGGAATTGGGTGACAAAAACAACAACAACAAAAAGCACTGCAGCGGGAACAACAAGGCAAAACTTCCGACCGCCAGCACACTTCCTTTGTCCCATCTCGACACCTACGAAACAAAAAGACGACTCTTCGCTCGATGACAGCCCGTCCCAATCCGTCCTCGCTCCCGGTCAAGATTGCCGGGGGGCCTCTTTCTTTTTTGTTCTACCTCCCTCAGATCCGTCCTTTCAGATCCCTGGAATCGTAAATTAACCATCCCAGTAATTCACCGCCTCTCGTCCTTTCACAGCATCATATTCCTATATAACCGCTCCTCCAAATGCTCGTCACTCTCTGACTCGAACCCTCCTCGGTTTGGACATCGTCTCCCATCTGTCTCACATACTATCGGACTGATCAACGCCACGACACGATGACTACCTACTACCAGCCCGCCGCCGCCAATTTCCACACGGCCCCTCACCACGCTCAACGCCAGCGCGGCTACCGTATTTGTGATGAGTGCGGAGCAGTGGAAACTCCAGCAGTGAAGTTCAGACTATGTGGGGGATGCGTGCGTATATCCATCGCTCGGAGTCATACATTGTCCGTCTAACCATGGCTTTTCTATCACACAGATGACAACACAGTACTGCGTACGTGCCCATTGTTCTCTTCTTTTGGCACTTTCGCTGACTTTTCTCTTACTACAGTCCCAAGATTGCCAAAAGGTCCACTGGCCATCGCACAAGGCGATCTGCCAACACACTGCCATGCAAGTCAAGCAGGCTACAGCTGCCGGCGCACATACCGGCTACGCCGACGAAAATCTTGCGAGATGCCTCCGCAAGTTCACCTCTGCACACAACGCGCTTCTCGGTTGGGCCGGCTTCCAGGCCCTCCAACTCAAGCGCGTCCCTGCCAACGTCAGGCAGAACGCTCTGCTCATCGAGCTGAGCTACCACAACCACGTAGAATCGCATCGTCGGTGAGTCGCCTCCGTGCATTCCAACCAAGCTCCTTCCGGAATGCTCATTTTTCCCCTCCCCTTCCATTCCGACGTGCCTAGATTCTCCATTGCGTCGACGCATGTTGTTCCAAGAACGTACATTCGTGACCCACTCGTGATCGCCGACATCCAGCGCCGCGAGGAACGCTGCCGTGCGAACGGCGGCATCGGCACCCTCGTCGTCATCATCCAATGCGGAGCGACGTCGCAGGTGATGCCCGTCGAGGTCGACCCGCCTGCCAAGATCACCTGGGACTCGCGCGACGACTGGGCGCAGGTTCTTGCGCACTTTGTCGAGAGCGGGCGCACCGACTTCAAGCCCATCTCCACCACTCCAAGAGGGTGAGTACCCGCCAGTCCCTCCAAGCGAAGTAATAGAACGTTAATCAGGCCGATTCCCCGTCGTCGCATCTTAGGGTCTACTATGGATGAGCTCATCCTCCATTTCGCGAAACTTGGCCGCCGTATTTCGGCGGCGGCCTCTATCAAGAGCAAGACGACACGCAGCGACTCTGTTCGCTCGAACGCCTCCGCATCATTAGTCGACTCCTAGACGAGACGAAAGCATTGTACCATCACCCCGCATTCCGCATTCCATATCACTGTCACACCACCACACATCGCATTCACATCATTTCCAGCATTCGGCACAATCCCAATACCCGCGACGTCGAGCGCCGCACCCTCTGCATTATACCACTAAGCAACTCAACCCAATACGACTCGCACGACTACCAAACGCTATCGCATCATTCCTATTCGACTTCGACGTTTATCGATTCATTGCTCTGCGGCGCCTCACGTACATACCTAACACCATCGCCAACGACGCTCCCCCTCGGCTGTGTCCGCTGACCCGGGATCCTTTATACTATTACCCATTGCATCATCCCCATGACTCTCATGCATTCGCCACGAATTCGTTCGCTTCGCTGCTTTCGTCGTCCATTCCTACCCTAATGGCGCTGGCTGTACACCAGCCGCCTCTCCCCAATAATCCCTGTTGTGCATTAGTATCATTATTGGCCTTTGTTTTCGTTCGCACGCACATTCCGTTCCATCCCATTCCGTTCTTCCTTTGGCGTTCCTCCACCTTTCGCTTTTGCCGTATGCAATACGGATATAGGACCACCCGTACCAGTACCTATTTTTGTCCTCTTACTCGAGCTAGCATCGGTGTTTGACACAATGACAACGGCTTTGAAGTGATCTATCTGTTATGGACGTTGTCTGATTGCATGATACAATTAGTGGAATCTTGCTTGAGGAGTAGCAGGCTCTGACAACTGATACTGATTTAAAGAGGGCTATAGTTGGACTCAACGAAGGAGATAACGAGGGGATACCGGGGCGTTGGTGGCGGGGAGTTACGACGGACATCGATGGCGATCGTTGCACTGCAGTGGAGCATTCAGACATGTGGGGTACTGGGGATGCTCTGGTGGATTGGCTGGCGTTCACGATAATTATATGCCAGTCAGTTAGGCTTTTGCTAGCTCTTGTGGGCGGGCGCCACGCCCGTGTCTTCTACCTACCGTCAATAACGTGAATCAAAGTACGACAAAGTATGACATACTCCCAAAAATATCCTTTTGCGCTAGACCGGCGCTCTTCAGGTCCTGGAAATATCCGAAGAGCCTTGTGGCAGCCTGCCCAATGCACTGACGACAGCGGCGGTCCACATGGACATATTCTTATGTACGGCGCCCTAGAGTGAGCGTAATCTGCGCAAAACAAAAAAAAGGTTCATAGTGCGTGGAGATAGGCGCCACTCCTTAACCCGTGAAAAACTGAGAGTTGACAGAAGGTCAGTGGAAAATCTAGACTGTTTAAACGTTGAAGCCTTTGAAGACATTTAAAACATGAAGTATGTTCGACTTATGTAGGTGATCACTTCGATGGCAACTACGAGGAATTGGTCGAATGATCACCTGCTATCAGTGAGGCGCGTGCTGTGTCAACATCGTGGATGAAATTCTGAAATTCCGTCAGGTATAAGTCATCCCAAGAAAAATGGTAAAGCGACACTGTTGCGCTAGGCCGAGAAAGGCGGGTTAATGGAAAGGCATCGGGAAGAAGTTGAGGGGAAGCGAGAGACATCTTATCTTATCAAAGGCCTAGCGCCCATGCCGACGCGGTCCGTCCATGTGGGTCGCATCAGAATCTACCTTACGGAGATAAAATGCCATCAGATTTGCGCTCATTTGCTCCAATTTCGGTTGGCGTCGAGGGAACTATCATCACCCCTCCAAACTCGAACTCCCGTTTCTCCCCCCTCAGAAACCTCATCTGTTCTCTCGTTCGTGAAGAGTCGACATCTTACTTCTCTGTTATCTCGGGATGACTAGAAGCCATCTATGAAGTCTCCTCACTATAATCTAGTCACAATCTTAATCATGATCTTGCAGGCAAGCTCGGTCAGGGAAGGTACGGCGCCCAATCGTGATGAATCATCGTTGTCTAGCCGTCCGGCGTTTGGGCTACCCCTTGTATCGGCGCCACTTGGACATGCGCCGACGAAACCTGCCGGCGAAAT